TTTGTTTTTTTTTTTTTTTTTTTTTTAAACTAAAGCTATATAAAGCTTGTGGATTAAACAGAATAAATTTCTAAATTTAAAAGTGTTGGCTGCTTGCTTTTACTTATCTCAGTACTGCAGAAACCCTATTTTCCTTAGAAACCTTACGGTGCCTGCATTTTTACCCCTTCGCCCCTCAGGCAGTGAAGGTTGGGCAGGGGAAATAAAAAGCTGATGAAATTGTTTTACTGTCTTTATGTTAATAATGTGGTAAGTGCTATGAAGGGAAAGTGCATGGTGTGATTGGAACATACATGACGGGCAGGGAAGTTGGCCGGGCATGGGTGATTGAAACAGAGCAAGCAGTGTCTGTATACCTGGCGCAGAAGGGGCCTGGCACCTTCCCACAAGTGAATAGAGGCTGATGGATGTGGGGTGGGAAATATTTGGCTATCCAAAATCAAGTCATTTTGCATTTAAGATTTAGCAGAGCAAAATAATTTGAGGCAACTTGGAGTTGACAACATCGTGTAAGGTTAAGCAGCAACATTATATGAAAGAAGAAGTAAAGGTGTTTGGGGCACCGTGAGCAAGTTGGCATGTGGGCAATTAATTTGATTATAGTTTTTGGCAGTTGAAGCAAAAAAAAAGAAAATGCCTGTGCATCTTATTTCAGAAAAACTTAGGAGAGGTTATTTTACCCAAAAGATGGACAGAAAGGGGACTGTTTTTATAGGTTGGTTTTTAGAGTGATTTGTAACAATGCTTAAGATGGTTTTGTAGGGACTGCACGAAGGTAGTCTAGTCACTGTCCATAGTGAATAATCAAATCTTAGGAGTGTGTCCAGCAATTTTCAAGAATCTTTCACACAATTCTCTTGACTTTGTAATTCTGTGGTACAGGAAAAGCACAGAATACCTATTTACTAAGATGGTTGTTGCTAACTTGATCCCTTCCTGGGGTACTTGCGTCTTTCTAGCCAATCACTCATTCAGCCCATTCTCGTCCCATTCCTTCAGTAGGCTCTTATTCCTCCATCTGCCCGCTTTTGTTAAGGTTCGAGATAACCTCCACTTTGCCAAAGTGAGTGATTCCCAGTCCTACTGTGCCAGTCCTCTTGGCTCTGTCGCTCACACCTGTTTTCAAACGCTTTCTTCACTTGGGTCCCAGGAGCAACATTGGTTTACCTTTTAGTCGTAACACCAGTTTTCAAAGTGTACCTCACTAGCTGTTTTTTTTAACCTCTAGTGGATCCTTTCAAACATGACGTGATGGAGTTTTTCTTTTCCTTGGTGGCTTTCCCTACATTTAGTCTCTAGTCCCTTGGCTTTAAATGTCATCTTTTTGTTGATGTGTGAGATTTCTTTCTGGTCTAAATTTCCCCCCGACCTAGACCCCTCTTTATCCAGCTACCTACTTGATAACTCCATTTGGATATCAAAAAGGCATACATACCAAATCGAACTTATCCAAATACCATCTTCTGATTTTTTCCTCCTCTTATTTCAGTACCTGTCACCCTCATTTACTCAAAATTGAGTCAGTACTGCCAATGGTAGTATTGTCCACCCTCCAACACACACATGAGCCATTCCATTCCCAATAGCCCAAGTCAGATCATAGTGTCACTGAAAATCCTCGATAGCCTCCAAGTAAAATCCAGATTTCTTACAGTGGCCTGCAAGACCCAGCAGCACTGGGCCAAATCTGCTTTGGCAGAAACTTCAGCTCCACTCCTCAGTCTGCTCAGACCATACCTGCTGCCTTGCTCTTTAACCCAGCAAAACTGGTTACCCTTTCTGGGCCTTTGTTTCTATGGTTCCCCCTGCCAATCTCCTGAATTGTTTGCTTGTTTTCCCTCAAATAGGCTTTCTTAATTCCTTTATTTTCATGGATAGCATTATTACCTGAAATATGAAATACATTTTTGGTCCCTAGGAGCTTGGTCTTGTTCTTGACTGTGTCCCCAGTGCCTGGTACATAGAAGTACAGATATTTGTTGAGTGGGTGAAAAAGCACGTTGAGTCATTACTTTTATATTTGCCAACAGGATTTGAGGTAAAGAAAATGAAAAGGTGCGATGATTGCTTCCCTCAAGGAGCATTTGCCTACTGGGGAGATTATAAACGTGCAAACAAGAATTTGGAGTGGACAGAACATAGTTTAGAGAGGTAGACCAGGATTTCTACCATAGATTTCTATGTGTAACCTTGGTCAAGTTACTTGACCTCTAAGTGCTGCCATTTCCTCTATGGGAAGTAATGGTGGGATCTACCCAAGTTTTTGAAGATGTGTTAAACATACAAAGCAATGACAACTCAAAGGGAGGTTCCTTGCTAGCTAATGTGACATGTATTCATTCTAGTAACTGGCAATTTTTTGTTCAGATGTCTAAAAAGGATTTTATTTTTTTTCTTTTTAATCCTCACCGAAGGATATTTTTTTCCATTGCTTTTCAAAGAGAATGGAAGAGTGAGAGAGAGAAACATCGATGTGAGAGAGACACACGGATTGGTTGCCTCGAGCACTCAGGATTGAGCCTGCATCCAAGGTTGGACGGAGTCGAACCCAGGACCTTCAGCCAACACTAACCCCTGAGGCAAACAGCCAGGGCCAAAAAGGATTTTAATTGATCATAATCCTATTCAATGAAATTTTCTCTCTTTTTAAACAGATAGAATTATCATAAAATTCACTTTTAAAAGTGTGCAACTCAGCGGTATTTCGTACATTCTCGGTGTGCAACCACCATCACTGGAACCATTAATACTACTCCAGTGTTCAAGGTTCAGCCGTGGCGCTGCATTTACTGCTGAATAGCACTCGCTTGTATTGACTCATTTTGCTACCCATCCATTAGCTGGGCATTCGGGCAGCTTCCACTTTGCGGCTATTACACATAAGACAGCTGTGAACATTTGCATCCAAGTTCCTGAGGACATGTTTTCTCACACATATACCTAGGAATGAAATTGCTGGGTCATCAGTAACCCTTAACTTTTTTTTTTTTTAATATATCTTTATTGATTTCAGACAGAGGAAAGGAAAGGGAGAGAGAGAGAGAGATAGATAGAAACATCAATGATGAGAGAGTCATTGATCAGCTGCCTCTTGCACGGCCCTGACTGGGGATCGAGCCCGCAACCCGGGCATGTGCCCTGACNTAGATAGATAGAAACATCAATTATGAGAGAGTCATTGATCAGCTGCCTCTTGCATGGCCCTGACTGGGGATCGAGCCCGCAACCCGGGCATGTGCCCTGACCAGGAATTGAACCCCGATCTCTTAGATCCTAGGTCAACGCTCAACCGCTGAGCCACGCCCTGCCGGGCAACCCTTAACTTTTTAAAATGCTGGACTCTTCCCCAAATAGCAGCTGCACCATCTTACATTCCCACCAGCAGTGTTAGGGTTCTAGGTTCTCCACATCCTTACCTACGCTTCTCATCATTTTGGTTATAACCATCCTGGTAGGTGTGACGTAGAATCTCACTGGTTTGATTTGCATTTCCCTGCCGGCTAATGATGCCGAGCATCTTTTCACGCGCCGATAGACGACAATGCCATTTTAAGCTGATTGGTATTTACACAGGAGTATTTCTGGAATTGTGGCTGTGGGTTTGGATTCAGGGCTCTCAGGAGTCTTTGTAGAAAGAGCTGATCATGCGCTGTAACAGTCACAACCAGGGGATGTTGAAGTCAACCAACTTTAATTGCCTCTGAAGCCAGGAGTGGAAGTAGCTTTTAGTGGATATTGGTAATACAGAAGGTAAAACCTCACTTAGGAAAAAGATGGTCTTTGTAAATCCCAAAGCCAGGCATCTGTTCTTTTAAGCACCGTGCTAGTGCACAACCAGGCAGAGACCCTTCTGGCATTTTAAGCGCAGAGGCTTTGGCCCACCCGGAGCAGTGGGGACTATCTAAGCACCTGGGATTTGCTGAGCACCCGCCAGGGCTCAAGGCTGGCTCAGGGCTCATATTCTGTGATCTCCCAGTTCCTTTCTTTTCTCTTGCTTTTTTCTGCCTGGAATGCTCTTTCTTGTCTCCTAATGTCCAAATTCTTTTGGAACTTATAAATGTATTTAAGGTAATGTTTTCTAATTATTAAAAAAAAAAATACATACTCACTTTTGGAAAAAAATACAGAAGAAAAATTGGCAATCGCATCATTCAAACCAAGGATGCCTGTCTCAGGTTAAGTACTCTACCTGACTCCACCCAACCCACACTCAGCTCCCCTCTAATATATGGAACAAACCAGGGTTTTTTTCCTATGT